GCTGCCAAAGATGCTTTTACAAACTACTGAATAGACAGGTTTACATTGTTTAGTCCTTTTTTAGTTTTGTTTCTGATTAATAAATAATGACGCTGTGGAATCTGTTGTTTTTAAACACTCCAGGTTAAATTTGATTAAATTTGAGAACTTTATGAAGTCCAAATCATTTTTATTATGTCCTGAAATGTAGAAAAGGAATGTACCATGTCTGTGTTTACATAAACATTAAATAAACTCGACCTGCTGTTGAAAAGTAAACTTCCTCTTGGTTCAGACTTACAATAAGTGTAGCACTGGAATTCCCTGGAATTACCTGCTTCACCTGAACACTCGCAATTTCCCCATTCTGCATGCACTAACGTCACTTGAAGTCCCACTACGTGAATTTAAATTACCGTAAAATGAAAAGGTGAAACTAAAACCTCCTGTAGGCCGTGGCGCACAAGTCCTCGTAATGCTTGGATGGCGTCCAAAATAACTAATCTTAAAGTGTTCTCGTGAGTCTAAACTTTGGCTAAAACTGTCAAAAATTAGCCAGGAGGTTGTTTTATCAGTTTGTTTTCCATGAATACATACTGTTATTGTGCATTACAGCCGCTGACATCACTTATCAGTGAGGTGTTTGTACCATAAACTGCTCTGTTTGTTTAGATTTTCATGGAAAAGTAAAAACTGCTTCAGCATTTTCAATGAGTTGTTTGAGTTCTCAGAAGTGGGATGTAGAAAAACTCACTCATCAGCATGCCTGCGTGTGTTTCGGTGTAGTTTAGAGATGTTTTGAAGGAGGTGAGATATTTGCTCACTTGCACGCTGGCAGCTGGACTGGGTTTGGAGTAGAGAGATGTTGAATTCACTGTCAACACTATCATCTTTACTTTGAGCGCAAGTTTGGAGGCGAGCTTTAAAATTGAACTTTTTAGGTCACAACATTTGTAAAAACGCTGCAAAATCCTGACGTGGCTGTGTTTTTTAAAATCCAACAGTTTTTTTATTAAAAAGAGATGTTAAAATATAAAAAAAATCAAACCAAGTTAAACAAAAATCGAAACTATACGAGTCCAAAATATTGTGCCGTCCTTGAGAAAAGTTTGTCTCCAACACAATGTCATTTTAAAGCCATAAAAGTTGACACAATTTTTGACGTGTGCTTGATTTATACACAAAACACAATTTAATATATATGTTTATGTGTGTGTATATATATATATATGTATATGTGTATATATTTTAAAATACACAATTTAAAATACACAATTTAACTTCATTAAATGATTTAGGGGTTAACGTAACTCGAACTCATCAGGGTTTTTGTAAAATTTCTGTTAGAAAACCACATTCATTGCTTTTATTCAGGTGATCCATTATGATCCATTATGGAGATCCTGGCTTTAGAGCTCAGATTATCTCGGTTCAGCTTGTTAAGATCTTATCCCCAACTTTTGTTCCAAGTATCTCCACGACATGACTTCCTCCTCAAAATGACCATTGTCCTTTCAGCTTTTAGTTGTTTCATCTCAGAAGAAGAGAGAACTTTAACTTTTTGTTTTTAGGTGCCTCTGATTTATTTTTGTTCACCCTCTGACTCTGTTTGCACCCAAGGATTATTTTATTGACTCGATATCCGTCGTGCACCGACACCGTCCGAAGTGAACTCCTCGATGGTTGAATGTAAACAAATGACTTGTATTGTTGGCAACAAAATACGACCACTGATTTCACTTATTTATTACAAATTATGTGTACAACTTTTGGTATTAAATTATTTATTATTTAACATAAGCGAATAGATGCACATATAAAAACATTCGATTGTGAAAAATCCTGTATTTTACCAGCTAGTACTTTAAATAATTAGAAAGAAATCTTAGGTCTTCAGTGGGAATTCTTTTCTTCTGGTGCTTTTTTCTTTAGAGGCCATAAATGCCCCCAAAAATAAAATGACTGTGAGGAAATTGGTGACCAGCTGAGCTATTTCTCTGTGCCTTGGCTGAAGAAAGAATTTCCTGAGAGACTGAAAGGGCTTGTCTTGCATGCACGTGCACACACACAGAAACGCTAGTCAAAAGGCAGAAAAAAAGAAGTGAATGGATGTATTTAGGGTCGTCTTCTGTCTCTAGAGAGGGACTGGAAGACTGGAGGTGTGGACAGCTCAGCAGGACAGAGACAGGAGAGACTTCCTGTATGGTTTCAGTGAAAGCGGAGTCAGAGATCACACACGACTCTTTTCGTCTCCGTGTGTTTCGTCGTATCTGACGAAATGATGAGATCTTGGAGAGGAATGCGTGAGTCAGATGGAGGAGGAATGAAAGGGGCTTGACGAGGAAGAGGGAAGGATATCCTGCAGCCATTCTCCATGGGTTAATCACAGGAAATACACCCATCATGCCAGACACATGTACGCCACCTCAGTCACCACATCCCAAACCACCGACTCTGACACATTTCTTATGCCCCTTTTCCACCACAGCCCTACTCTGCTCAGCCCTGCTCACATCAGCTCTTTACACGTAGGATTTCCACCGCACTTCTGGACCGGTTCTGGAGGCACGTCCAGAACCCAAAATCCTGCTAATGATCTTTTAATGAACTTCAGTTCACCATTAAGAGTGAGAGTTCTGTGATGGAGGTAAACTCAAAGCAGTGTGCTCCTCAGATAAATAATGTTAAATTATTATTTTTAAATATGAATGTTTCTGTTCAGAGCCCTGAGACGACTTCTGTTGTGACTTGTCGCTTTATAAATGAACTGAATTAAATCTGATGAATCAGATCCTACAAAAACATCTAAATTTAAAATTCTATATTTTTCTTCATCATTTGATGTATTTGCACTCATGTCTACATTTATTGTTCAGTTTAATATGTGTTTTTGTTTCTTGTATACAGATTTTATTTTAGCTTTGATTTAAAGTGTACTTCTTGTTTAGTGATTTGTACATCTGTGGGTTAGAATAAAGTTGAACTAACTTTTCTTTAAACACGTTTGAGGGAAATATTCCTGAGAGATCCAATGATTTTGTCTTTTTATGATTTTTCAGCTGAGTTCACTTTAATTAACAGATTATTTAATAAAGTCAAAGGGAAAACAGGATTTCATGATGAAGCTGGCACCGTTTATTTTTATTCTTCACTGATAAAAAAAAAAACATTATATTTTTTATACATGAAATGTTTAAAAAAAAAATCCATCCTCCGTCCCGGTCCTCCCGCCTGCCAGGGCTCGGAATCCGTCTTTTGTGGCCTCGGCCAATTCGGTATGATTTCCCTTATATGAACTCACATATTAGTTTTCACAAAAGTGTTTTGGGTCGTTTGTCCTTCTTGACTCAACCTTCACCATTTACCTGAGCTCGGGACCGCGCAAGAGATGCACCTTGTGTCGTGCTCCCTGGTGGCTGGTTTAGCAAATTATTTTTATTAATGATATTTTCCCATTTGGACCTAAAAGGTGGTTTCATGCACAAACTTTACTAAGTTGCAGTAGTAAATAGTAACAAATGTGGAAAGTTAGATAACTGAAACCACTGTTGAGATATTGAGGTTCATATGGTTTAGATACTTGACTTCACTGTCCTTATGACCATTTGAGATCGTTTGCCTTTTTTGTTTTTGCACTGGCTGTACTGTGGCTGCTCGTAGTCTGGATTACTACGTTTATTGGGTGTATTTGAGGTTCTGCTTCAGAGTAGGTGTCTTCTGGCCTCAGTGCGGATTTTCACGTGTGAATCTGCTCGTCGATCACCATCGTCTGCTATGAAGTCTTCTTAGAACGTGTTATGCTTGTTTCAAACTGAAAAATCAGACCAAAAACATTCAGCTAAATGTTTGAAGTACTTCATTGTTGTTGTTTATGATGAATGTAACTTGAGTGAGATGGCCGCACTGAGTGTTGCGTTGCTCCATCACTGCGTTCCTTTGGTGGTGCAAAATAAAACTTGTGGGTTCCTTTGAGGGTTGTATAGTTGGACAAACAATCATAATCCTTAGAAAATCCTTTTTAGTTTTTAGTTTGAGCTATTCTTTTATGATAATTGTGTTTTAAATAGAAAGCCATATATTGTGCATACATTGCAAAAAAAACGATGCATGATATATTTGCCTTTCTGTGGACACACACTCTTGGTCATAAAACTAATAAATATAACCTCTAAATTTTAACAAAATACTTTCTAAGTTTGAGGTTGCTGTTCAGAATTGGGATATAAATGTCAGATTCTGGTTTGATTTATTAAAAAAAAACATTAAACTCTGACACTTTAAAGTTCTGTTGTCTTGTTTTTTTCAACAGATGACTCATTTATTGTAGAGCTGTTATTTGTAACGTAAAGATTGTTTTATTGGCATAAAATTAAATAGAATTTGAGATTTGTCAAAAACCCTAAATAGATTCTGGGTTATTTCAGTTTTTTTTTTTTTTTTTTAAAGGGTCTGATTAATGGTCAGAAGATTCACATGGACTATAAATAAATCTGAAAGTACTACTTCAGAAACTGACACATACTCTGAAGTGTAAATAGTGCTTAGACTAATTATATTTTTCTGTATGTTTGTGAAGTAAAATGTGCATTACATCATCTGTGAACCAAAAGATAAGGCCCTATATTAAAGAGGTGAGCTGTTCCTAAAGTAGCTGTTCACTTGTTTTTAATGTCACACACAGCTGATGAATAGTGAATACTTCATGTTCACTTGCAGTTTCACCCAATCTTCAACAATTTGGTATTTAATAGCTGTATCTAAAGACATGTTTTGCCACCTTGTGCTGTATGTGTGTAGAATATCCTTGAAAACACAGTATATTTTACTTCTCACTGTGCAACAGGTTTTTTGGCTCATTACCATTCTCTGGCATTCATATTTAATCCAAACCCGCATTCTTCCTCCTCAGAGACTTTTTATGCACCAGAATTCATTATCACAGCCTACACTCTGTGATTAGCTACATGGTTATGCATGTGACATTTTGTTCATGTTTTTCTGTATGTGTGTGTCTTTTGTAGTATTATGTGCCAAGAACCTCGCAAAGAAAGACTTCTTTCGTAAGTACTTGTACTTCAGTGTTTTTTTGCACAGTATTATTTGGTTAGAATGTGGGATGTACACAGTATGTTTGTTTTAGTGCCTTTTTTTCTGAGTGACATTGTCTTTGTGGATTTGAAACAGTATACAAGGTCTGGATTCAATCTTTGCATTCAGGGCTACCGGATCCATTCGCCAAGGTCGTGGTGGACGGATCGGGTCAGTGCCACTCCACCGACACAGTCAAGAGCACCCTGGATCCCAAATGGAATCAGCACTATGACCTGTGAGTTTCTCACAACTCAAACGTAACCCCCAAAAATATTTTTTTGTTTTAGAGAGATCTCTGACTAGTTGCACATATTGATCTTAATGTTATTTTTCTTTTCTACTGAAAGTTGTGACACATAAAAACTCATAATTAATTATTAGGACTGGGCGATACGGACCAAAATTACCGTATTTTTCAGCCTATAAGTCACATTTTTTTGCATAATTTACATGCCTGCGACTTATAGGCCAAAGCAACATGTTTATGGATTTTTTTTCACATATTTATAAACTGTTTTTTGGCTGAGATATGACCGTTTTCATTCATTCTGACTGAAAAAAAGAGCGGTACTACTTTCAGCCACTTGATTGCAGCAGAGTATGGCATGCTGTTGTATCATGTAATGGGTAAAGCCCCCAGGATACTGCCCGTACATCCATACGCAGAGGTACGCACGTACGTACGCAGAGGTACGTGCGTACCCCCCAGCGTACCCTCCGTGCAAAGCTCACATTTTTACAACCGCATACGCGGTGTCGCACAATAAACTTCCCAGCGACGGACTGTTTTGTATGCGACACCAATGTATTAAATTCCCCTTCTTCATCCCTGATCTGGCCTTTTCTTTTGTTTTTTTGCCAAGAGGCAGTAATCTCTTCCTCCTCAGTTGATGCCATGACTGAAATGGTGAGAAATGAAGGAATTTGTCACGAGCAAATTAAACTCAGGTCCAGCATGGCTGCAGGAGGGTCTGGAGATTTCCTGGTGGGCTGGTCTGATGTGTGGGCTGTAGAGCCAGCGCTCTGTTTTTTTGTTTTTTTTTTAGATCTTTTTATTAACAACATATAAACACAGAACACCGCTGCGTGAGGCTGCCAGCGCTCGCTTTTTTTTTTCAACCTGTCAATCAATCCAGTAGGCGTGTCAGCAAATGACCAATCGGCGACCTCAATTTGTCCCGAAGGTAAACGCCCCTCGTCTGTGAAGCTGCTCTGCAGCTGCTCGCGGTGTACGCTGGAGTATGAAGTCTGAACCCTCTGCGTACAGTACACGCGTACGTACGCGTGAACGGACATACGCGGCAGTATACTGGAGCCTTAAACGTGGCTATAATGACAAATTCTAAAAAGTTCAAGACAAAAACAACTGGACTTTATTTATTATACTATACTTTATATTTTATTGTTTTGTTCTTGAACTTTTTAGAATTTACCATGTCCTGGATGACTGAGAATCTTCACCAACTTCATAGCCTCCCCACCTTCATTCTGCTCTCTGCTTGGAACCGTCAAAACAGCTGCACTGCCCTGGCGAAATGCAGCTGTTTTGACCATTAAAGTGCATTTATTAAGCAAATGTTAGACTGAGACACACATTTACTATAATTTCGAGCAAACAAATAATTGTTTTTAAGTGTTAATCTTGTTAAATTCTTGTTGAAGTCCTCTCGTGCACGCTCCCGCGGCTGCCGTTTGGCAGCCCATCGATTTTTGGCACACCAGTCCACATTTCCTGGTTGTCAGCGGTGATGCGTAACAAACGCGACACGTCAGTGGTGACGCATAATAGATGCGACGTATATCACGAAGCAACATATTTATGGATTTTTCCACTTTATTAGACAGATATGGTCTGATGCAACTTATAGGGTGGAGCGACTGGCTTTTATTCTGAATAGAAGTATAGAAGAAGTTCTACTTCCATTTTACTTCCATGATGAACGTAAACAAACCTGAGCGCCCAAAATGGACCCGCGACAGGTTTTATTGACGGTGGAGACGTTCCTGCACTCCCTGATTGAGCTACAGGTGATACAGATCATTTTGAGCTCGTTCAAAGTTTCTAGTAAAAATGTTGTCGCTCACCAACCAGTTTTGCTTCCACGACATATTGGCACCAGGCAGAAATACGTGAGGTAGACATAGGTCACACATGCGCAGTCAGGTCAGTTTTCCATCATCAGAAAAAAAAGGAACAGATTATGTGTTTACATGCACACCGTTCAGATTATGAATCTGCCTAAACCACGCTTATTCTGATCACAAATTCTTTCGGATCGAGCTGAATCAACAAAAAATAATCCGAATAGGGCGTTTGCATGACGCATTTTTATTCCAAATGGCCATTTAATCCAATTGCTTATGTCCATGTAAACATAGCCCACATCTCTTGTGTTTTTTTAATGCAAAGACAACTTCATACCTTTCCACTCTAAACCAGTTAATTTCCTGGAGAACACCAAACTTCTGCTTTGTAGCAGCTACCCAGTCATTTTCACACCTATCAGGAATTTCCATCCATGTCACCAGAGCGTCTGCACTGTGAGTCAACAACTATTGTGACGATTGATATCTGCATATGCATCTACCTTGTCCACAGTGGGAGCTGCAGCTGCACCAGTTTTACACAGCAGGAGGCGGGGGCTGGGTTTGTATTCAGTGAGGGAGAGGAGGAGGGGCGGCGTGAAGGCACAGACTGGGAGAAAAACTGGCAGATTTTCAAGTATAATAACTATGTGGAGTATGAGACTATATCGCTTTATATCTATATAGTCTCA